CCCCCCCAAGATTTTTCTCCTGCTATAAGTATGATCAACCTACCAGGTATGCAAAAACAACCATCTCCTTGGCTTTAGTATAATTATGAACCACTGCTGCTTCTTCTAAAAGCTTGTAAGCTCTGGTGGAATGAAGAAATGAAATAAGAAAATGAGATTGAAATAAAAAAAAGATAAGAAAAGTAAGAAAATGAGAAATGAAAATGAGACATAATAGGAATGAATTAAGAAAATGAGATTGAAAAAAAATTAAAATAGGAAAATGAGAAATGAAAATGAGACATATTAGGAATGAATTTCAGGGGTAGATTTGGTTGGGAAAGTGGAAGTTGATAACAAGCCACCTTCTTTCCTCTACCAGGAAAAACAAACTAATTGCAGCCAAAGCAACTACTCTACTGGGGCTCAGAAATGGGCCAAGAGATTTCAAAAGATATGTCAATAATGGACATACAATGACGTAATTTGTGTTTGTTGATTGTTATTTGAATTAAATAAAACCATGGAAACCTTTCTATAAGTAATATACATGTATATCTATGTATGCTTTTTTCATTGCTTACTTTCTGTAGCTTGGTTTAGTCTGATTGAGGAGATTCTGTGCTTCATTGTATTCCAGATATCCAGCTTGTTCTGTACAAAATTCAAACATTAAATGTTTTTTAAATTATTCATTACCGATTATTATTCTGGGCTCAGTTGTACAAAGCCTGGATAGCGCTATCCAGTGGATAAGTCGATGTTGTTGTCCAATAAATTTATCAGCTGGATAAGATTTATCCGTCGGATAGCGCTATCCAGGCTTCGTACAACCGAACCCAGAATAAATTCTTATCCACCAGTGCCAGGTTGTACAAAGGGTGGATAGCGTTATGCAACGGATAAATCTTACCAGTGGATAAATTTATTGGATAACCACATTGACTTATCCACTGGATAAGGGTTTATTTATTAGATAGTGCTATCCACCTTACCAGGCCCAGATGAACACTATCCAGGGGATACCCAATGGCTGTAGTTTTAAAACTTGCATTTATTTTCACCCCATTATAAAGGTCTTACAAATCAACTTGTGTTCTCTCTAACTCTCTCTCTTCTCATTCCTTGCTTGCTCATGCTTTGCTCACAAATTTCCATAATAATTGTCATTACATCACTTCCCACGTGGCATGATTTGGTAGCATGAAACTCATTGGATTTTATACTATTGCTGGATAGCAATTTTACCTGCATTTATCAGATGGTATGTATCACTAATAATTAATAATAATCAATTGATTTAAATAAATAATAAATAATAAATTATTAGGTCTTCTTGAACTCGATTGTGGCAAACAAAACAGAACTCTTTGTCTGAGACGTTACACCCAAGCTATGATCAGGTCAATGAGGATTGATTCAAGTAATGGTATGCATTAAATGGGAAATTTAACAGTTCTAACCTTTCAGTTTCTCATTTTTTGCTTTCATGGCTTCATTTTCCTCTGCAAAATATCAAAACATATTTCAGAAAATTCTAAAATATGCATTCCATATATATTCATAGATTATGATTCATATCTCAGGGACAGATCTAGAGGGAGTTTGCAGGGAGCTTGGTTCAATGAACCCCTAAATTACAATAATATGGACCCCCTAATTAGAAAATATCCAATACAAAATAATTTTCCTGAATTTTTGTTTTTACTAAAGCATTTTTCCATGTGGACTCATATTGGCGGTTCAACACCCCTCCCCCCTAATGCGTCTGTTTAATAAATGCAGTATGACACCAAGGGGTGTGTCCAACCAATGTGGGGGGGAGGGGGGGAGTGGGGAATGATTTGTTGAGTTTAGTGGACACTTCCCTGGATACTACACCATCATAACATTTCGTGGAATAATATTTGTGCTCTAGTTTATTGCTCTTATTATCTATTTAGCAATATTAAGCATTCAAATTACTATCATTAGCAAATCAAAGCCATTATGCCATGTTATTGTTATTCAATTTCGTAGAGCTTTACTCCTGAATTAGTTAACCAAATGCATTGTGTTTTAGGCTTGGTATATTAATTAAATCAAATTAAGATCAAATGAAATCAACATTGTTTATAGAGGATGGCACTTGACGATATTTCAACTGATAATCTTGTGGTCCTCTGTTAACAGTGTACATAAAGGGGTCACGTAAAAGTACTGAACAGTTTATTTGATTGACGGCATTGTGTTGTCCAATTTCCCTGTTGTGACTTTTTTCTGGATCAGAGTGTGGCAATGACAATAGCGGTATTAATGAAAATTAACTTTTAAACATTATTATCAGATCTACTATGCATTACAGTAGTTATCATTCCAGTTTAACTGCACACATAACAAGGTATACAGCTGTACATGTACGTTAATAAAGAGTCAAGGAAGATTATATTTTTACAAAGGTTTTTTTTGATCAGCATATGATTAGCATTTGCAAAATTAGTTAATATTGTTCTCGGCAAGTTCTTCATAAACATTTCAAACAAAATCATATTTTTTTCCACCTCTGAGTTTTATAATTTCTTCCTTGAGTAGTGCTTTCTTTTGCCCTGAGGTAGGAGCTGTACTATCTAATGATGAGAATAAAATACGCCAATAGATGAACAGCCAGTAAGAATCGGCCAGTAAGTAACATCATGATCAATGGTACTAGCTGTACAGCAGGGATCATGTCAACGTCAACCTAGCGTGGATTCTTCAAACTGTAACATGATCATGACAATGCAACATACTACTATGTACCTTTCTTCATTAATGCTAGTACACTGCTAAATATACAACCCTATTTGACTAATAAGGGGCTGTTCATTAATTATGCCTTGGGGGGGAGGGGCTGGAGGAAAAGTAGGGGGGGCTTTGAAAAAAAATCACACAAACAAGGGGGGCTTTAATAGTATTTGTTGACTTAAAAACAAATAATTAAGGTATGTCTAAAAGGTCACAAGGAGGGGGGGGGGTCAAAAAATTTTTTTTAGATAAAATTGTGGGGGTTGAGAATTTTTCCAAGGTTTTTTTCGATTTTTCCTCCAGCCCCCTCCCCCCAGGCATAATTAATGAGCAATCCCTAACTATAATACACTGATCTCGCATTCATTGTTCTTCCTTTCCTTCCTAGTTACTGTTGCTACGTCAGACAGGCTAAAATGTGTTTTTGATATACCACTTGGAACAGACACCAATTATTGTCTGTCTTACAATCAATGCATTCTAAAGGTACATTAAGAAACAAATCGATAACTGCTAAAAAATCTTATGAATTCAAGTCATAGAAATTATTCAGTGATTTCTTGGCCATAGCACAAAAGATCTGTCAAAAACTAATATGCCCACAATGTCATAACATAAGAAAACAAAGAAAAAATAAAATATGATAATATTGATAATGATGATGATGGTTTTGATGATGATGATGATAATGATGATGATGATGATGATGATGACAATGGTGATGATGACTAAAATGATGGTGATGATATAACAATTTAAAAACAGTGATATAAATCAAATATTTAATATTTAATATTTAATAATATATAAATATCAATCTCAAACTTTACCCATTTCCTTGATTTCTTCAGACACTTCTTCATGAATTTCTTGGACTTTTTCTTCATCAAAAGGGGGGTTTGTTGGCTCTTCTGTTGTTCCTTGAGTTGGGGGAGCATCTTCATCTTCATCATCTCTATAACCTTCTGGACCCATCATGCCTTTAGCCTCGTCATCATAATAATCAGTATGTTTGACATAACCACCTTGCTCGGCATCATCAACATCTTCATATTCATCATAATATTCATCTTCATAATCCTCATCTTCATATTCTAATTGGGAATCTTTCTTACTCTTTTTCTTTTTTCCCCCAGATTTTTTGCTTTTCTTTTTCTTGTTCTTCTTTTTACTTTTGACCCCAACTTTACCATCTTTCAAGTTTTCTTTCAATTTTTTTAAGTTCATTTGTTCTGATAAAGCTGGTTCCTGTGAGTCTACTCTTTGATCTACCGGGTTCCCATTGCCAGAATCTTTTTCTACTGATCTGACATTATCGTGAGATTTCCCATTTTCCATTTTCTCGTCATTCACAACTTGTTGTTCACTGTTATCATTTTCTTGACCTTTTTCTACAGATTCCACATTATCAGTAGATTTCTCAATTCCCATTTTCTCGTCATTCACAACTTGTTGTTCACTGTTATCATTTTCTTGATCTTTTTCTACAGATTTCACATTATCAGCAGGTTTCTCAATTCCCATTTTCTCGTCATTCACAACTTGTTGTTCACTGTTATCATTGTCTTGCTGTGAACCTTGTTCTCGATTATCACTGACAGAACCTCCATCTTGTATCCCAACATTATCAACCTTTTCATTTCCCATTTTCTCGTCATTCACAACATTCTTATCTCCTAGATCTCTCAGATTCTCTGTGTCATGTCCCTCCTCCACTGGTCTGACATCTTCTCTGCCATTAACAACTTCACTATTCCCACTCTGCAGATTTGCACCACTGTTTTGATCACCTTGCTGATTTATATTTCCAAAAGTATCAGTTTCAGATTTAACTTGTGTATTACTAGATTCTTGCTGTTGGTTGTCATCATTTTGCACAACTTGTTCTCCAGAACTTTCACTAGTCCTTATATCATCCCTAACAACTTCATTTTCTGTACTTTGTTTCATATCATGTTCAAATTTACTTTTAGAATCTTCACTATGTTCACTATTATCACTAGATTCACGTGTCTTTGGTTCAATGTGTGTAGCTTGTTGTTGGTTCTTGGTGGTATCAGCTGTTTGTTCTACATTACTCTCCTGAAAACAAAATAATAAAGAGTTTTAAGACAAATAACATACTGTGCTAACAGACCCCTTGCATGTGACGTCAAAGCTGCTCAATTTGGAGGACAAAACAAAACGATTTCAGTCTCCTGAGAATTGGAAACCTATTGTTTGTTTCTCCAAATTGAGCTGCATTTTGACGTACTGCAAGTGGTCCACAAACGTTTTACCCTTGGGTGCATTGTTTCTCCATTTCAGACAATGTGTCATTCTACTGAGAATAAGATTTTTGTTTGGGTTGTATCCATATTCATGTGTCTTCTCATACACAACCATCAGACACAGAAATAATACTCTAGGGAATGACATGTGGGGAAACATTAGACCAAAGGTAAAGTGGTCTATTACAATCAGGAAGTGAAAAAACTGAGTAGAACTCTAATCTCGGCTGAAAAAAACTTGTATATGCCTCTGTCTAGATATTCAAAATTTTTCTCCAAGTTCACCGGCTTTCTTTACTCCATAAAAATCCACATGTGAGTATAGTGTTGTGTGTTGTAAACATTGAGTGTATTCATAGTGTATGTGGAGCAAACCTCACAGAGAAGCCCCTCTCAGGGAGTAATGGTTGTAATAATATATATAATTTAATTTAAAATTTAAATGTCAAAAGTTCTTGCAAACACATTTCAAATAAAATAACAAAAAATAAGCTCAAATTTTCAAATAACACGCACCTGAGCTTCTTTTACCTCCTCTTTAGCTGGAATTTCTTCAGCTGCAAGAGAATGGCAGCAAAATAAGTTAAATTCAAAATAATAAGATTTTGAAAAATGAAAAACGAAAAAATATTAACCTTTGTTTTGTGCTGAAAGAAATAAAAGGACAAAAACCACGAAATTTCTCCTGCGAAATTTCATCCCTTCCGCGAAGTACTGAGCGTCTGTTTATAGTTATGGGTCGTGAATCGTTTAGGAGATAATATAGGAAGGATGTATGGAGTTTACAGTGACGAAGCAGCTAAATATTCATATTTTTTGGTCGAATTATTTACAACTTTTCAGCTCGACGCTTCTTTGCTTGCCACGTATCTACGTACTGCGCATGTGTAGAATAAACACAGGAAGCCCAAAAACAAACTTTCTCAGTATTCAGACTTGGTATTCAGGGTTGATAAAATGATAAGAAATGAAAAAATGCATAAATGGAAAAAGGCAATCCCATGGTGTAAAAATTAAAATTAAGTGGTTTATCTAAGTAATCAAATTTCATCAAAATGCCTCACAACTTTTTAGCAAGAAAACAGAAAGTACATTAATTTCTGCGATTTGACTTTCAATTTTGAAGATATTTTGGGGACAAAATCCATGGATTTCACTTCCAGGGGTGGAGGGTACCGGTTATCCCCACCCCTCCCCTCTAAAATTATCCATAAATTCACCTGTTGCTAACATTGGGCTACCTGTGTAATGGAACCACATGACGATCATGACGTGTTGTGTAATGGCGGACGAACGCTTGTTGTTTTGATTTCAGTACTTACAGGTGAAAAAACAGCTGAAATATTTTGCCTACTACCCTCGATCTCCACAAATGAGTAGAGTACTGTTCAAGATTCTATGCAAACTCGTTCAAAGGCAAACCTACAGCTGTCTATCCACGCGGTATGGGATAATATTATGCTTCGGTGGTATCCTGCTTTTACTTGTCTCAGCATTTCAGTTCGGGGAGGTGGTGCTGGAATGGAGCATGCAAAAATATTCCTTAAATTTCAACATTTATCATGATAACGTAGTTGGAAAATCCTTCCAGGATCGTCTTTGTCTACCTATACCTATAGATGTTGTGTATACTTGGGTAAACGGAAGCGAACCTAAACTTATTTCACAACTTCAGAAACTTAGGCTTGAGCTAGAAGCACAAGAAAACAGGACGAAGAATGAGATATTTAAGAATGGTTCCGATGTTCGAAACTCTGAGAAACTACTTAAAAAGGCGATAATCTCAAACGCTAAGAGAAGAAAGAGCAATGAAGGTGTGAGGTCAAGTTTTGACTGTTCGTTTGCAAATTGTGTACCTGGAAGAATATTGGTTCTTCAAAATGTGCTCAAACAACGTGGGTTGACTCTTAAAGAAGCACAGTCTCTACATCCTTCCTTTAAACTGGTCTCTGAGGTTCGAAATTCGACCTTAAATGGGCCAGAAAAGGAGTATATGAGTATTCTTTATTTTCCAAATGCAGACAGCACACGTAATTCAATGCAGGAAAGTATAAAATGGAATGGTCAAAGTATTGATAGCTATCAAGGATACTTTACTACAAATGCTTCAGATGCAAGAAGCATAAATTCTGATTATGAAGTCATAGTTACTGGTTTTACCAAGTACACTGATATAGTCCAGTTGCAGCAAGCATTACAAGAGCATTATGGAAAATCAATGATAGATATAAGTTATGAGCCAAGTAAACATGTAGCTGTAGTTTACTTTAGAGATGAAAGCTCAACACAAAGAGTCCTTGAACAATTTAAGGGGAATCTCACGGTTGACGATGGCGCACTGAAATTCCACCCTGCATATTTAGTTTGGTCAAACATTTTCCCAAAGCCAAAAGAACAGTCAACAAGTGCCTATGAGGATAGTGACGAACATGATATCTCAGCCAATCGGTTTGCAGATAATCAGGAATTGAGATACTCTCTTAGATCAATAGAGAAGTTTGCACCATGGGTCCGTAATGTGTATATTGTCACTAATGGACAAATCCCGTCATGGCTGAACCTTGATAACCCCAGAATCAAGGTTGTTCCACACAAAGATATATTTAAAAACCAGAGTCATTTGCCAACCTTTAGTTCTCCAGCTATTGAAAGCCATATTCATAGAATACCAGGATTATCACAGAAATTTATCTATATGAACGATGATGTTATGTTTGGTGATAATGTGTGGCCGGATGACTTTTATACTCATGCCAAAGGTCAAAAAATATTTCTTACCTGGCCCGTTCCAAATTGCAATGATGGATGCCCAGCAAATTGGATATCTGATAAGTACTGTGACAAAGCTTGTAATGTATCTGAGTGTGATTATGATGGAGGTGATTGCATTGGAGTCAAGCAAGGATCAAGACATTCTTATCAAAACTGGCATCAACAGCAATCCAGATTCCGATTAGATTTCTGCGGAACTGGTTGTGCAGATACTTGGGTGGGTGACCGTTACTGCGACACAGCTTGCAATGTTGAAGCATGCGGGTTTGACGCAGGTGATTGTGGTGTCTCAAAGTTTGACATACTGTACAAAGTAGATATAAAACAGAACAACCAGAATTTCTCATTACCCAGTGGTTTAACAGTATTGTACTTTAACATGTCACACTTTTTCCAAGATGGTAAGATAACAGATGCCGAGCACACCGAGGAGACGATAATAAGATCAGCTGTGGTCGCTCAGAAACATAAAATACTTACCCTTGTTTTGCGAACCAATTATAGCCGTACTCCTGTCTCATTTAGAATAACTGGTGTCCCTGATGCAAATCAGACCAAGAAAGTAGAGCTTAACTTTAACATCAGCGTTGAAACAACTGGAACTTATGTTCCCACAACTGAGCCACCAACCTTCATGCCGATTACTCAAAGATCAACATTAAACCCAACTTTAAATGTAGTGATGGAAAGAAGCTACAAAGAAATTAGAATTCTTTATGCAAATAAGTCTATCAATTATTGGAATGTTGTCAATAGCAGTTTTCCGAGACCAACTTGGATGGTGATTGACAGCTCAAAATATGATGTTCCACATCTATCAAATGATACAATTCTTCCCCAAGAAGTCAGTAAGGCTCTGCAGAGTCTTCAAGAGGAATTTGCCGAAGGAGATCTCACAGAGAAGGGCTACAGAAGGCGCAAGGCAAAGCTCCTGAGAGAATATTTCAATAATGCCAGTTACTATGACAACCGTGCTACAAATAACCATGGTAACGTTAAGACAACGGTGATAAATGTGTCAATTGATTCAAGCTTGTTTGAAGAACAATATGTGAAGCTAAACAAAAGAAAGGTAATATCAATAAATGAAATGTTTTCCCAGTATTTTAGTATTAAGGATCAGGAATTATTTAAAGGGGGGGAGGGCTGGTGCAAAGTTAGATATGCTATGCATATTTTTTCAAAGCCCCCTCCCCCTCCCCCACTGGATACAAGATATGTTCCCCCTTTTCTCTCTGCATAAAATTGGTGAAGCATCCCCTATTTGCACCATCCTCCTCACCCTCTTAATAATGACCACTCCCTTACTAGCCTCCTTAAATTAAGGAGCAACAAAATCTACAAAATTTATTCGATGACTTATTATTCATTTAAAACAACCAAGACCTTTTTGACTTAGGTGTGATGTTTCCTCATGTCATACCATGTGTTATACCTTTAGATTAAGATTCTTTGTTAGCTAGGCATTCATGCATTTCGATCCTTGCTAGTAAATAAATAAATAATACATAAGAGAATAACAAGCGCCACAGAGAAACCTAAAAAGTGTGTGTGTTGGGGGGGGGGGACTTATGCCCTTCTATTTCCAAGGTCCCTGAATAACACATGGTCTGAAATAGTAAAAACATTACAATTAAGGAAATAATACTCAAGAGAATGACGCGTGGTATGAAATGGAAAAGAGTTTCGCACGAGCTGAAAAGTAGTATTTAACATGACTGTTTTGTTTTAGGGCGAATATAAGGACCTGGAAACAGAAGACAAAAGTAAACGAGAAGTAGAGAGTGAAAATCCAAAGGCTTCAAACAAAGAGCAGAACTTTAACCGCCGTCTTCTATCGGTGGATGACGCTCAAGAAGATTTAAATTCCCTTGCACCAGATAATACTAAAGGGTCTTTTGGAGGCGGAAAACAGAAAGAAGAGTCACTAAGACCAAGTGAAGACGAGCTATTTCTTGCCAATTGGATCGCAAACACGAAGCGCAAACAACTTTCTTACGACGAAGACATGGAAAAAAGCTACCGGAAATGGAGGTCACGTTACGGGGACTGGAACCCAAAGACGCGCGCTACAGACACGAGTTTCCTACCCTGGGAAAGACATCAGATTTTTCAGCTTTCAGCAAAACGCGAACAGCGCCGGCAAAAGCAAGAGGAATACACCTTTTCTACTGGTTATCGTAGCCGGAAAATCTTAGACACTTTTGCTGATTCCCTCCTTCACGTTCATCGTATCTACAACCGGAAGTTTGGTTACATCGCGCGTAAGGTTCCCGCCCACATGCCTCATATGATCGACATCAACATTATGAACGAATTACAGGATATGTTTCCGGAGGAGTTTGATGTGACGTCATCGCATAGGTTGCGCAGCTCTGACGACATGCAGTTTGCGTTTTCGTACAACTACTTTGTGATTGGTCAACCGTCTTCAATCAACGTCACTGAGTTTTTTATCGAACTTGACTCGGATCACTCAGGTGAGTAGAATTTTTCATTGTCATCGTTTATCAGTGTACTGCACGAAAAGTTCCAGTGTCGACAAGTGTTTGATATTCGATGAGCTCGATAACCCCAAATAGTATCGATAAATAGCAGATATCGGAGTTACACTCTATTTCCTTCAAACAATTGTTGCAAGTCGAGGCATTTGGGTTAATACAATGAAATGTATAGAAACTAACCCAAGTGCAACAATTGTTTGAAGGCAATAGACTGTAACTTTTTCTTTTCACCTCTTTTCTTTCAATCTTCATCCATTCATCTTCTCTTCTTCTTTTCCTACCTTCCTCCCCTTAATCTCCTTCCTTCCTTCGTTCCTCCACTTCTTCCCATCTATTTTTCCTCCCCTTTCTTCCCTCCCTACCATCCTTCCTTACCCCTCGCTCATTGATTCTATTTCTCGTCCTTCAGGTCAACTGTCCGATCGAGAGTTACGCACTCTGGCCGCAAAAATATACCCTCTCCCTCTTGACTCAGCCACGATGAAGAAGCTAGAAAAAACACTTATCGACTGCTCACTCAATATGACCAAACCTCTAGACAAGAAGACCTCCGCGTCCACCCTACCTGTGGTCACCGAATCACTGCTCAGCGCATGCGCTCCAATACTAAACCTCTTAAACGACACCAAAAAAACATCGAAGAAATACAAGCACGAGACTCTGGGAGACGACGATATAGCCTTCAAAATGATCGGCAACAACGCTACAGCCGTTCTCCGACAACTCGACAACATTCGCGCCAACAAGAAAAAATTTATCTGCTTGAACGACAACATCGACCACTCGCAAGACGCTAGCACAGTGCGAGCGCTTCTGGTCGACTTCTATGAGTCGTTCTTCCCCATACCCTCTCAGTTTGAATTGCCCGCTGATTACCGGAACCAGTTTCTTTACGTTGATGAACTTCAAGAATGGAAGAAAGAAAGACAGGAGATAGATTCTAGGACCAAAACAGTTATAGCTGTCCTGGCGTTAGTGTTATTAGTGATTCTATTTCGTCGCAAGTTGTATGGGCTGGTTAGATACTTGAATCCTTTTCGAAGGCGTTTGATCACTAGTGTCTCGGGATCTGGATCGACTCGACTCATGAGCGTCTGATTTGATTGACATGTGTGGTGTTTCCACAGGGTCGGCGGTGGCGGCGCGGCGCGGCGGTGACATCATCCAGTTGAACCAGAGTCATCCAATCAGGAATTTCTCGCACCAAATATCTGTGATGTCCTGTTTGAAGTGTCTCGCGCAAACGTCGTGCGTAAAAACTGAGAGTAACCTCTAGACTCAGTAAGATCGTTTTGTTCATAAATCAAACTTACCTGAAAACTGTCTGGATCGGCGCTGCGAGTCAGCTTCAAGGTCACGTGAAGTTTACCTCTAACGATACACTCTGTAATTTCTCTCGTGCCGGCAATGCAACAGTTAAGATTTCATTTGCATCAAGAAGGTGAAAGACCACCTCCCTGGTTGCATTTAAAGCGCGAGGAATTGCGGCGTAAGCCATGTCTTGCAACAACAGTGCGCTAACGATCGCAGAAAATTCATGTTTGCGTTGCCATCACAAGAGGAAATTGTATTGCGTATCGACAACTTTTAACTTGAAAGTTAGAACTTTTAAACTGATGCATTGTGGTCTAGCTTCAGTACGAACAACACCATACATGGAGTGATGTGTGCTATCTCGAAAAGGTCTTTGTAGCTGGCCTTAGGAAATGACAAGATTGAAGGTCGTGACAATCAGGGGGGATCAGGGGGGGACAAAGAGAAAGAATGAAATCCATAAAAATATGTAAAAAAATATTTGAGAAAACTCAAATCATAAGATTGGGAATTATAAATAAAAGAATTATTTGTGGTGCAATTTTAACATTATTGGAGAGATATATAAAACTATCCACATAATTCAGGAAAAAAAGTTGAAACGAGAATTGAAAATCTTTTGCCTATCTGACAATGTACTTAACCAATCTAGCTTGACAGCCTCTCTTGTAGCCACCTGGAACATTCTGTTCTAATATGGTGGTAGAACTTTAATATTTTATTCACATACTACAGTACAATTCCCAAATACAAAAGTAAAAAAGAATATCAAATGCAAATATGAACAGTTCCAACTTAGAGCTGCATATCATTATTGTCAATAGGTGGACCTTTTTAATAAATTCCACAATGAATTATTTTCCAGAGTTTGATGTCAAATTTATTCTTTCAATATTATTTAAAACAAATAAATTTGACCTCAAAGGTGAAAAATATGGCAGTATGGGATTTATCAAAAGGGTCTTAGACTTGTCTTCGCCAGAATTGAAATTAAATAAAGACAAACGAAACAAAAAATGGAAAAAATGAAATGAAATTTTGTACAAAATGTAAGAAGCAGCCAAAGGGCAAGCTTCTTTTAAAACTCTTAAGAGAGTTGGTATAAGTCGTGTGTAGTGGCTAAGTCTGCATGCGCATTCTTTAGCTTACATGCAAACAGACAGTACATTCATATCTGCAATCTTACAGCAATTCACTACCTGAGATGGTGGGTACAAGGTTACCTCACCTCACTCCTCTAAATTGGGTCCTGTAAGATAACAATAGTTTTGAGCTTATCTTTTAGTCTCTGTCTATCTCTAAAGCCGTCATGGGTCTAAATGTGTGGTGGGTACCAAGTGGGCTCATCCCACTCCTCTAAATTGGGTCCTGTAAGATAATGATAGTTTTGAGCTTATCTTTTAGTCTCTGTCTATCTCTAAAGCCGTCATGGGTCTAAATGTGTGGTGGGTACCAAGTGGGCCCGTCCCACTCCTCTAAATTGGGTTCTGTAAAGTAACAATAGTTTTTGAGCTTGTCTTTTAGTCTCTGTCTCTCTCTAAAGTTCTTGTGGGTCCAACCCACAAAGCACCAAAAGTTCTTCACAAAACAATCTTGAGGTATTAGACTAACAGAAATGGAATTTTTCTAGGACTACATGTCAGTGGAAACCATGTTTTGCATGCTTAGCCTTGCATTCAAGGACATCAGAAATGTTGAGTTTGCCTAGGCATAACCAATACTTATTCTCATATCAAAGACTGTGGAGAAGGAAAGTCAGGGGGGTACTACCAACTTACCTGTCTTGAAGGATACTACTCTCTAATAATAAAATAAATAATAAATAAATGGGATTTGACAGTGACATTTCTACAGAGTAGCTATTCATCCACTGTAATTGCAATTGGAATTTAGGAGTTGATTTTTGCGGAGGGAGGAAAGCCGAAGAACCTGGAAAACCCTCGAAGCACAGGAGAGAACCAACAAACAACTCTACTCACATACGACACCGAGCTCAGCGGGACTTGAACCCAGGTCACATTGGTGACAGGCGAGCACTCTCACCGCTACACCAACCATGCTTCTCGAGGAATATTTTCAAATGACAACAGTGCCTTCAACAGTGCCAAACTTTAGCTCAACTAGTTTTAAGAGTTCTCCATAGTCTCTTCATGAGAAAAATATTCATTGGCACTTCCTAGACTATATATCCAATCCAAATAGGGTGACCTCTTTGACTAACTATTGTTCTGCACTGACTTGTTGTGTTCACATGGAAACACAAGCATTTTCTCATGTATGAGAGGCTAGTCAGTGCAGCAGAACAATAGTTATTTAAATTATTGGTCTCCATTTTTTGATTTGGAGCATTCTTAACCCAAAAATTAAAATATCATTAAATAGAATTATTAAAAATGCATGCACAAGGGTAGTGGGTAATAAAAAAATTTTACATCTAAGCCCAGTGCCTGTTAGACTGCACTTCAAAATTCTTCTACATCAATTGCCCTGTTTCACTATGACGTCACTGCTTGTTCATGTGGGGGATAGAATCGCCAAATCCAATAGAAAATTCAACAAAATTTGCTCCTAGTGAAACAGTTTAATCTAAAGTGGCCTGCTTTTCAGATATGATATGTGTTAATATGTACTAAAAAATATTCTGAGCGTTTGCTGGCTATTCTATTTCTCTTCGTGGATTGATATGGGTTTTAGAACAATTTTCGCTGAACTTGCGTTGATTTGACCCCCTCTGACGACCATGATCCTTTGCGTTTAAACAATAGATTGTTTTGATGTGATGTCATAGTGAAATAGGGCAATTGAAATAGAACAATTATTTAGTAACCCTAATTAGTAATCCTCATCTGCCTTGTTTTCAGCATCTTCTCCCATGTCTCCTCCTTCGTTATTGGATTCTTTTTTGCTTTCATCAGAGTCACGTGTTTCTTGCTTGTCTCCTGGTGATAGTATGGTAACGTCTGCTTCGTTGTCTTTAACTTCCTTTTTCTTGTTTTTTTCTTCATTTTTCTTCTCATCCCTTTTTACTTCAATTTTGTCCTTTTTTACTTCATCTTTAGGGTTGGTGCCTTTGTTTTCTGTTTCTTTTTTGTCTTCTGTTTCTTTTTTGTTAACTTTGATGGGCTCTGAGCTGGTGTCCTGAGATAAGAAGGAATAGCAAAAGTTCAGAAGATGTGAGCATCAATAACATCATTACCATCTTCAGTCATCATCATCAGTCATCATCATCAGTCATCATCATCAGTCATCATCATCAGTNCATCATCATCAGTCATCATCATCAGTCATCATCATCAGTCATCATCATCAGTCATCATCATCAGTCGTCATCATCATCAGTCGTCATCATCAGTCATCATCATCAGTCGTCATCATCAGTCGTCATCATCAGTCATCATCATCAGTCATCATTATCAGCCATCATTGTCATCTTCATCAGCCATCATCAGTCAGTATCATCATCAGTTATTATCATTATCAGTTGATCATCAATCATCATCATCAGTTATCAATATCTCTGCTACTAACCTTTTTTTCAAGAATCTCATCCAATTTCTTGCTCAAAGCATCGATTTTCTGTTGAAGGTCTTCATTTGCCTTCTTGGCATCAGCTATACCCTAAAATAACAATAATAAAAATGATCAAAGACACATTTCAAGATGGTTTCACTTTCCCCTTGTCCCTAATTCCTTAGTCTTTTTATGCAAAGTTCTAGAAGCAGAGCACAAATGAAGTTATTCTACTTGTAAAGTATAGCAAAAAGTTCACTTTTCAACACCAGAGCTTTTCTTGAGCATTCCAATCCCCCCACCATGGATATTGCACTACACAATATACCCTTCCCAGACCCACCCCACCCCTTGGAAACTTCTATCCCCCTCCATGGGGAAGGTATGCATATTTTCTGGAACTAAATAATATACCCTCCCCACTCCTTAAAGACCCCAATCCCCTTCCATGGTGGTGGTATGGATATTTTCTGGTACTACACAATATACCCTCCTCAGACCCTCCCCACCCCTTGGAAATTCAACAATATACTCTAGTCTCCTCACCATTTACTTAGGAGATAAACTAAATGCTTCCAACTAAATTGAACAATATTTAAAGTTGAACTAAGCACTGAAATACATTTCCACAAAACCTGTCCAAAAATCTAACCTTGGTCAAATCAGCATACTGTGATGTGCTGTCGACATCCTCCTTTCCATTACCACCAGTTTCTTCGCCATTTGCATTGCTAGGATCTGAAATATAATTGTCACTAGTGTCTTCAAGAGCAGCATCATCGTCATCATCAACATCAGCATCGGTATCATCAGCACCATTCTTATCATCTGACTTACTGTCTTTTTCATCTTTTTTTATTTCCAATTCCTCTTTGTCATTTTTGGTGCCATTACTTTCATTTTCTTGATTTGTGTCCTCATCGTGTTCCTCGACATTTTCCTCCACTTCACTTTCATCCTTGGCTATTTCATCTTCAACTTTTTCATCCCTGGTTTTAAAGGTTTTGTCCTTCTTGACCACTGAAAAATATTTAAATAACTTCTAGTAACATTTTTAAATCATCCAGAGTCAGGGCTCAAAATAGCAGCCTGCCAATGGCCAAATTCCAGGTTTGGCCAAAGTTTTCAATAGAAGCCGGCAACCAGCAGATTCCGCTGTCTACTCTTGCTAATTTGGCTGCCTACTTAGCCACTTCCCAATGTAATTGTAATTTTTGATTAAAGTTCTTTAAAGTTCGTTAAAATAAATTTTAACCCAATCTATTTTGCTGTACTATGAAAACTGCAATGCAACTACAACGATCATTGTCCGTCATCTTGAATTTTTGTGAGAAGAGTGAGACTGATGACAAGTATGCCTCGATTACATGCTCCAGTGATTTCCGGTTTATCGCCTATTTTAATTTCATAACCACCTACCAAAACTTTTATTGACAACCCTGTTTGGCAGGCAAAAATAACAATGCACTGCTAGATGAATAAAAAAATGGCATGCAAAATTTACTGGAATGACCTCCTTTTACCATGCTCCTTTACTATGGCAGGCTAATAAAAATTTCTATTTCGAGGCCTGCAAAGTTCATACTATCATCTTTGGTTTTAAAGGATTTGTCATTCTTGACCACCAAAAAATATTCAAATAACTTCTACTAAAATGTTTGAATCATCCAGAGTTCATACTGGTTTATAAAAGAGAATTGGGTGTCTTATAGCCTCCAGATTTGACACGTAGCATCGTCACATTATTTCCCAGACTCAGCATCACACATGAATAGACCATTTTCAAATTAGTAAAATTTATCTGTTTTCCTTTATTACAGAGTCATTCACTCAGGATTATCCTCGTATCAGTGTCGATATTTTACAAATACCAACAAAAAGTAAAGAATGCACAACTTCAACAATACAAATACCATTTTTTGATTGAGGAATCAGAAGAAAAAGAAAAAGAAATTTAAAGAATGTGATCCACATGTATCCCTGTAAAAAAGATTTAGAACTGATATTGTCTATTGTCTCACACTATAACAAGGCTGCCTGAAAATCTTCTATTACAGGAATACCTAAAAAATACACTCCAAATTATGCCACTCAGTGCAGTTGTCTGAACTGTTTTCAGGACATCGTACAAGCCATATAACAATAGAAGTCAATGTTATTTAAGTACGCATATGATTTTCTGGGTATTCTACTGTATAACCTAACAAATACATTTATAAATAAAACAACAGATTGTTCAATGCTGGTCAAAATTATAATCAACATAAAGTGATTGGTCACTACGATTTCAATAAAAAAAAACATTGTGAAAGAACAAAATTCATTATATATTAATAAGTAAACCATGGAAAAACTGAAAATACCTCCATTGGTGTACAATAAGCTTATATTGTTTGAATCTGYATGGAATCTCAAGAGAGTTTATAAACATAAAGATTTGAAGTTATTTAAATATTAATGATTTGTACTCATATTGAATTACAAATCCTAAAAATTTTACATTTCTGGAATCTTGAATTATTTTCAGTAAGAAATGCGAATTAGATATAAGAATCTAGCCTAAATAAAAACTCAAATTTAACCCTTGAAAGATTGAGATAAATTATTTGAATATGGAAGTCTTACGTACTGTACGTAGTATTAAATATTATTCATATATTTTCAACAACATTTTCTGCAAGTTAAAAATCTGAAAACACTATCAGATCTTATCTCAATCTTATCTTAAGTATAAAAAAGTAAACTTAGTTAGAAATATTGAATTCTAACTAAATAATTTGAAGGATTTGGGGTTTATAAAAACGTCGAAAAAGAATCTTTTTAATGTCAGTAAACTCTTACCTTGTAAACTTGCCGAGTACGTCGCACAAACTAAGTACAAAACCACTAAAAGAAGCAGGAAGATTCTTTGATGTGTTGTGTTCATTGTTACGGTAGAAAGAGAAAGAAAAGCCTTAAGAAAATTGAGGATTTTGGATCGTAAAGTTGGAGAGATTAAATTAGAGACCAGATGTTTTGAACGAAGGAACCCAGTGCTAGGTAACCGCTCTTGCATGGCGTTTATTGGTGCATTGTGGGAAACAATTAAAAAATGGTGGAATTTTTGAATGTGTGTTCAGACCTCTTTGGAATTGCCCTATTTCACTATGACGTCACTGCTTGTTTATGTGGGGGATAGAATCACCAAATCCAATAGAAATTTCAACAAGATTTGCTCCTAGCGAAACAGTTTAATCTAAAATGCGGCCTGGTTTTCCCGATATAATATTGTTAATATGTACTTAAAATATTCTGAGCGTTTGCTGGCTATCCTACTTTTCTTCGTGGATTGATACGGGTTTTAGAACAATTTTCGGTGATCCATTATTTCCATGATCCTTTGCGTTTAAACAATAGATTGTTTTCATGTGACGTCATAGTGAAATAGGGCAATTAAAATTCTGTATTTGAGCTGAATTCTAAATGATATTTTTCTCAATATTTGGCATCAATAAAGAAATAATACTTAAGGTAATGGTGGTCTAGAATCGGGAAGGCATTCACTCTAAAATGAGGGTCCGGTCGTCGAAACTACTTCAAGAACGGGCGACAATAAATAAACGAATGACGGAATGGATGGGTGGATGGATGGACGGACGGACGGACGGACGGACGGATGGATGGATGGATGGATGGA